GACCTATCCACGTCGTCATTTACCCAGAATGCTTTGTGTGTAAATAAAATGGCTCCGTCCGTGTTAAAATATATTTTTAAAAATTATAAAAACTGAACAGCCTGCAGTATTTTTACAGTCTTTATTTTACAATTAAAATATATGTTTATTAAATAAAGGCTAATGTTACAACTAATCATGGATCCCTTTCATAAAATCCAAATGAATAAACATGTGGAATCTGGGTAAAATTAAGCTGTAGCTAGCCTTGCCTTTCGCAGATTCGATTAGAACCTTCAGCCCGTTGTGCTCCAGGACGATCATTTTCGCGTGCTCGTGAGCATTCCCAAACGTGACCCGAACATCGTCATCAAACGTTACGACCCTGAGCGCCGACGAGGCCTCTTTGATCAGCTCGGCGCAGCCGCCGTGCTGCGTAATGGCGCCGGTCAACAAAGGCAGCAGGCCGCCTTTCACCAGATCCTGCCTGTTCTGTTCGTGTTTCACGCAGCAGTGACGCACCACGCAGATGGCGGCGCACGTCACCGACGAATCCGCCCGGTGCGTCTTCAGAACCTCCAAAAGGAACAGTTGTCCCTCCGCGTCCAACAAGTCGGGCTGTCCGTCTGTCAGGGCAGCCAGAGCGGAGAGCGCTGCCACCACGGAGTCCCGCTCCTCCACGCTCTTCTTGCAGTACGAGAGGATGACGGGGTAGGCGTCTTTTTGAGCRGCTAAATACCTCTGCGCAAATCCGACAGAGCACTGCACGGTGAAGCACGTTATGTCTGCCGTCACGTCAGCTACAGCTGCAGAGTCTTTGGCGATCCGAAGAGAATCTAAAGCCTGCAAGAGGAAATAGAGAGGAACATAAACAGACGACGGGACGACAAATCTTTTAGCTACAAGCTGTACGTTTTCTTTAAAGGGTTCAGAACTCACCTTTAGGACCTCGTGGGTTTCTTCTTCCTGTTTGTCAGCAGATGATACAGCAGATACAGCTTTAACTATACAGCTGAGGTCTACGCCTGCACATTAAAAACAACAAACAAAAAGGTGTAATATGCTACAATAAATATTTAAATCAACCATTTTAAAGAACACAAACATCAGTCTAAACAAACACAAAAATAAACACTACAGCATAATGCAATTCTGCATATGTTTGGGATTGTTTTAAGTCTCATATTGGTAATTTTTTTGCATTTTAATGAAGTTTGCACAGAATGTTGGTTGTTTATTATGTTTTACATTACCRGTAGTCCTGTGCCACTTAGCTTGATATTTTATATCGTATTCAATGCAAAGATAACTACTAAGTTATAACAAGATAATAAGAATAATAAAACTACAAGAAATAGTCCTCTGTAGTTCATTTTTTTCTTTTTTTAAGTAATTTAAGTCTTTAAGCATCTGCATAGCTTTTCAGTGTTTTAAAGTTGCATTTAGATGTCTTTTCATTCATTTTCAGACCAAAACTTGCCCATTTCCAGAAAACGTTATCTTGTTCCCATCAGGCAACCTAATTCTAGACCTAAGACTATAAAATCAGGCATAAAAAGGGTCACGAATTCAAGGGATGAACAAAGCTGTGTCAACAACACATCATAAACAACTTAGCAAATTGTGTACTGGATCTGTTTTGTTATTATCAGCCTGTCACAAAGATGCACTTTGTTCCCAGATCTTTATCTGACTTCATTTAAAAATATATCTAAAACCAAGTTAGCACCAACAAAGTGAGTCATATCAGCTGATCAACTGAAGGATGATGTATCTGTCAGGATTTTAGTGGATTTGTTTCCATTTCTTGATCAGATTACATTTTTTCTGGATACCTTTTGTTTGCTGTAGATCATTTCCCTCGACCTGACTCCTCTGTAGTGCACTTATGTAAACCTAGCAGCCGGAAGGTTTAAGGTTTTTCACAATAATGTACACATCATTTCTGTAGTGTAGTATTTCGGGGACATTTTACCTTGAGATTCAAACTGCTCTACTGCATCTCTGAGAGCCTCATCCGGATCCATCTCAAACTCCTCCATGTTCTCCCGAACAGCAGCATCAAAGGTTTCCTGCGTGATCCTTCGTTTCGCCATTTTATTACTTTTGCTCTTTCAGGAAATACGATATCGTAAAATGGTCCTATCAAACCAACATGGAAGACGAATAAACCAAATTAAAAATCAGGATAACGAGTTACTGGTGAAGCTAATGTTTATGTTTTCTCTGTTACCAAATTTTAAGTTCAAGTTGGCAAATCTACCATTCAAACTGTTGTTGCAGTATTCATTCACTTATGTGTGTGTAATTTTTAAAATAATACCCACTGTAGAAAATATCAGATAAAGAAAAAAGCAGTTACCTCCGCCCTGAAACAAGCTCCTGCACTTTTAGGAACAAAGATACGCAGTTTTCGTAGCATAATTGTAACTGAACGGCACTACGTAGAAATCAGCTCGTTGTGAATAGCACAAACCGCCGAGCGTCGACACATAAATCYGCTCCGTTGCAACAACGACTGAAAACATTAGTTCCTATGAGCTGTTTTATAATGTCTTCAGCTGATATACTCTTCAAATATTATGTCACCCAACAATTAAAATTACAATAAAATATTTTTTCAAGGAGAGTGAAATGTCCTGTAGGCATTCAAAGTATTTACGACATAGACCACRAATAAGTGAGAGGTTATTTTGACAAATTTCCTTTCAAAATAAAGTAATTCACAATGACGCTTTCTGTTGCCTTGTGCACACAAACAGGAATCTAATACTTTGGCGTTGTTATCTACAACATTAGGATTTCTGTTTCTTGTGTAGAAGGAGAAGCTGGTCAGTTATGTGTTGAATTTAGATTAAAAATGTGACGTTATGAAGCAGCTTCATCAGTCCATCCAGACCACCTCCACCATTCAAGGTGATGAGGTTCCTTCATGTCCTGCACCTGGTGGGATTTACACTTTCACAGCCTCTAAAAATGTGTGATCCCTGAATCTCCAGCACAGAACTGTGGCTAATTGTTTTTACTTTTTTTGTGTGTTTTAATACTTTCCATGTAAGAGTATGAGTAGCTCAGATAGGAGAAAGTGAATATGAATTTGTTGGAGAATGATTTGGTAGTGACCACAGCAACGACTCAGTCCCTCTGCTGGACAACAGCCCCATCCTTCAGGAGCGTATCATCATGTGCCGGCTGGTTACTGGACACAAGGCCGCAGCAGCTGCGCAGGACGTGAGTCATCAGTTGCAGCGCATCGTCCCTGCATGATTGTCACTGCTTCTCAGTGCACACCTTTTTGTGAGCTTGAAATTGTGGTGGTTTGTGTTTAGATTTGTTTCTTTTTTCCAGGTTTGTCAGCTCTGCCAGCAGTCGCCCAGCCTGGTTCCAAATCATGCTGCTCAGCTTCACACTCTCTTGGTGAGTCTGAAGGCAAAAGAAAAGGTGTTTTGTTTACAGTGTTGAGTAGCTGCAGGATTGTTTACTGTTACTGATGTTTTGTTTTGTCTGCTTCCTCTAATGTACTGTACATCTGTGGATGGACAGCACTAAAGCACTGTCCACTGATGCTTTACAAATAACTTTCTTCTTATTATAAATGGATTCATCCATTTTTTATGAATTTATTTTTTTCTATCTTGTGAAAARTATGTTTCGCCTGCTTCATCCCATCTTTCTGCAGGGACGTAGCAACAAGGTCAGGTAGGTCAGGTAAGAACTGGCCAGTAACGTTTTTTTTTTCCTGAGTACGCTGTCTTTCCTTATGTTTAACCCATTAACTTTTACAATCAGGAGCTCTTCAAGGGAGACACAGAGGGTCTAAACCAGGGGTGCCCAAACATTTTCCCAGAGGGGGCCAAAATGAAAATCTATCCATGGCTGTGGGCCAAATGCAGTAATATAATACATGAAATACAAATACTTTTTAAATTAAAGTCCTTTATTTTTAACAATTAAGCTGTGCAATGGCCCTCTTTTGTTTTAGTCTCTGCACTTGGAGAATGTCTGCCATACG